AATGCATTAAAAGAAAGAACATGGAGCAGGGTGAAAGAAACAAGGCACAATAGGTTACATCCTGTGTAGCTCCATTTATGTGAAATTTCTAGAATGGGTAAACCCACTGGGGCAGAAATCTGACTCAGGCCCTGGGGTGGGCGGGTGGTTACCGCGTAGGGAGTTACTTGAGGTGAGGCAGGTGTCGGGGACTGAGATAGAGGTATTGGCTGTACAACACGGGGAAGGTACTAAATGCAGCAAGGTGCTGGCTTGAAAATGGCTCGTTTCGTGTTGTGTGAGCTGTCCCTCTTTGTAGAAATGCCTGATATAGTGTGCATGTGAGTTGTTAGTTCCTAGGGTTTAGGTCATTGGTATTAGGTGTTTTCTACCAAAAGCACGGCATGTGTAACACCAGGGTCAGCGGCATCTGCACTGGAGTCGCCCAGGGATGGCCTGGGATGGTGCCTTCTTTGGTGAGCTTCCCGCAGGGCCTCTCACGAGCATCGCTAGGAATCTGCGACGTGGGTGACAGTCAAAACATGGGGAGAAACTGTTAGGGTCAAAAGGTTCATGTGCGTGGACAAGCCTAGGGGAGAGCACAACATCGTACCCTAACCCCTCCACCTGGGTCAGAGGTGTCACATTTGAAGGCTGTCTGAGGAATGCGTGGCGCAGGACTACAACATTCAAATGACACAGAGGTGCAGGTGGCCGCGGTGAAGGGCCTCCTTTTTTTTCCCCGCCGGTGCTTGTGATTGCACGAATAGTTATTTTAAGATGAAGATGTCGCTGCAGATTTGCATGCAGCCTGTGTTGCTGGCTGGGTCTCGGGGCGCTCCTTCCTGCAGCCCGCAGGCTGATGCTCTTCACTCTGCCCATCAGCAGCAGCTGATTCTTCTCGCGTGCTGGCGCCGTGCTGTGGGCACGGCTTGTTCAGTCTTCACAGTGAGCCTCTGCAGCCCGGGCCCCTTCTGCCTCCTCTCCACAGAGCCACCCAGGGGGAGATTTGAATTCTGTGCCTTCGACCCCACGACCAGGCTGTGACTCTGATGACCTCTGCTGCCTGAGAGGGGACCCTGGGAAGAGCCTGGGCCAGGCTCACCGTTTCCATGCTCCTCTCTTTCAGGCTGTGCTTGTTCTGATCTTGTCAGTGTTTGCTAGGATGTGTCTCGTGGTCTCCCGGAGTCTCCGCCCTGCAATTGGGAGAGAGCGGGAATAACTAAGGCGGGTAAAGCAGTCAGGAGTAAGGGAGAGCCCTTTCCTTCACGCTGCTTACTGCAGTCTCGTCTGGAACTGAGCTCCAAGGACAGAGGAAGCTGGGGCTTCAGAGCTCTTCTATGAGGTCAGCAGAATGCGGCAGGCTGCTGTCCACGTCCTGGTGACCCTGGCATGAAGGGCTATGTGTGCACTCTGCCACTGAGATCCTAGATGGAGGCTGCCATGGGTAAAAATGCCGGCTTGGCCTGTGCGGGGCTGCTGGACACGCGTTCTCAGTGTCATGGTCCCCTGGGAGGGGGCAGGCAGCGGCCCAGAATAGAGATTCCTGGTGCAGCTTCGGGGGGCGTTTTGGGCGAAACACCAGATTCATGGTGGGAAAGCTAAGCTCCAAGTTGGCTGTTCCGCTTGCTGCTAGGGTCAGATGAGGGCAGTGCAGAGGTTTGCAGAAGTTTCCTGGCCTCTGCCGTCATCCAAACCACTAAGTGGAGAAACATTTTTTTTTCGGTTCATCTGACCAAATTATTATCCATGGGCTCCTGGCCAGGTCGCCTCCATCTAACTGTGGTCTTCCTGACTCTTCGGGAGAGAATCACGTGGAATGGGGACAGGGTGGTGTTGCTCCAGCGTCAGAACACGAACAGGGCGAAGGGCCCGACGGGAACAGCAGCGGTGATGATTCCCTCCTGGAGAGGGCCATCGACTCTCTCAGCACATTTATTTTTCTTGTTTTTGTCAGTGGTGTTTTTGTGAAGCGAGAATGTAGAAGGAATGCTCCCTGGCAGATGAGACAGTGCCGTAACTTTCTACAGCTTCAGCTCTGTCAACTGAATTGTGTGCGTGTGTGGCAGTCTTTAAACCACGACCTTGGTCATGTGCTGCGTGGAACAGAGGAGCAAGCCCGAGGTGTGGCCTGGTGTCGGCAGCAGGGCCTGGTGTCGGAGAGGCCCTGACATCAGCCCGTATGACCTTTCCCGGGCTGCAAGGTCACCCTCTCTCTAGGCTGGAGGCATCGTTTTGCTGGTCTGTGGCTTCCCAGCCCTCGTGGTGGAGCAGTTCAATGCTCTGTGTGGGTGTGGACATAAAAAATACTTGTAGCTGAAACTTGAGCTGTTCCTATGAGAAACTGTGTTTAATGGTGTGATGACAAAAGGGAGGGGCTGACGCCAAAGGTTGTGGCCAGGACTCAACAGGGGTGCTTCCTCCTGGGGGGGTGCGGAGTCAGGCATCGAGCGGGCACTGGAGGGCACAGCAGCCATGGAACCCGAGGTGGGGAGCAGCCAGGCTCCAGGAAGCGGGGCCCGCTCTAGCTCATGGCCTTTGCTGCTTGGCTGAACTCCTCTCCACACACTGCGTCCTCTCTCCTGCCTGCTCACAGGGACTCGGCCTGCACTCGCCTCCTGCCTGTGTGGGATGAACTCCCTGTCTCCCCGGTTGCTGTACCTTTTCCGCACTTGCTCTTCTGTGGCACCAGCGGGCTCCTCTGATGCAGAGCCCTGAGACTGGGTGGTGCAGAGGGCAGTTATGGTTTGCAGCTGCTGTATTAGTCAGCTGCACGTTGCTGGGGTGAGATACCTAGAGTGTGGGCTACTAATGAAGAAAAGAGGTTTTGGTTTTGAATTTTGCGATACTGGGGACTGAGCCGAGGACCTTTGCACTGAGCCACTTCCCCAGCCCTTTTACTTATTTTGAGAGTCATGCTGAATTTTCCAGGCTTGAATTTGAGATCCTCCTGCCTCAGCCTCCCAAAGTGCTGGGATTATAATTGTGGGCCACCACTCTCAGCTGAAAGTTTTGTTTTGTTTTAAATTTTGGAGATTCCAGCCCAAGATAAGGCAGCCTGTGGCGCTGGCTTCTGTTGAGGAGGGGACCAAGGATGGGATGTCTGCGTCAGTTCAGCAGTTATCAAGCCAGGAGACAGAGGGGGACTGCCTGGTGCTCCACGGTCCCTTCAGCTGGCAGCCCCAGTGACCTGCAGTCCTCCCACAGGCCTCACCTGAGGTCCAGAGCCCTGGGGACCATGCCTTTACATGCGCACCTTTGGGGGACACTGCCCGTGCTCAGACTTGGCACCCCCTGCTTTCCGCCCTCGGGGGGCTCCGTGGTGAGCAGATCCTGACTGTGAAACACTTCCTAATGTGTGTGCTCCTGTGCATGTTGTGGCGCTGTAATGCCTGAGCACGGTGGCACCCGGCTCACTTAAATGCAAGTGTTCACACGCGAGAGGACGCACGCAGAGGCTGCACAGCTGGGCACGTGTGGCCGGCACTGCAGATGCTTCCTCGGCGGTGGTGGCACCCACACGCGTCTCCCCAGAGCAGCCAGGGCCGTGGGACCCCGCGAAGCACATTCTGCAAGTTTTCCCGCCTCACTTCCCGGCACACTTTTTTTTTTTTTGGTACCGGGAATCGAACTCAGGAGCTTGCGCTTGCCAGGCAGGCGCGTGTGCTGCTGAGCTGTATCCCCGCCCCCCCGGCACACTTCTTAAAGGAGATGTGTGTCTGTGGATCTCAGGGGTCCCCCGGGGGATTTTAGATATTTGCCTGCAAACCTCATGACACTGTGAAAAAGAAGTGGTTGTGCTGGGGTGGTTGTCATCCACTTGTCTATTCTTACTGGCAGAAAATTAAGTGTGAAGATGAATCAAAGTTGCTTGCTTATGAAGAGTGAGCGCCCGCCCCTTTGCTCTGAGGCCTTGGCTCTGCCCTTTCGCCCCTCCGGGCCCAGCGTGTGGAGCTCCCTGAAGCTCTGCTGATTTCTGCAGGCAGATGTGGGGCGAAGGTCCTGGAGTGATGGGGCGCAGGTGGTGGGAGGTGGCGGCCTGGGACTTGGTCCCGCGCCATTTCTTCAGGTAGCTTGAAGGCCGTGAGGCTTCACCTGTAAACTGGGAATAGGGAACCCGCAGAGCGGCCATGCAGACCGAACGCGGTGAGGAACAGGCAGCGCTCTGAGCCGTCGCGCTTTTAGACCAGTGAAGAGGAAGGCAGCTACGGTTTTCTTCTCTTAGGAGTGCTTGATGAGGAGCATGTTCTCGTATATCACTTGTAAGCAATCGCTTATAAGCTTAAGGACGCTAGGGCTGGAGATGTAGTTCAGCGGCATGGTGCCTGCCTGGCAAGCGCGGGGCCCTGAGTTCGATTTCCCATACAAAAAAAAAGCTTGAGGACGCGCAGGGGCCGGGCAAGTCCCTGCAGGCCTGAGCAGCCTCACTCCAAGATGGGAGGGCTGCTGGTCCCATGTGACCACCGCCACTGTCATGTGTGCATCGCAAACGGAGCTGTGTCTGCGAGGCCCGCAAGCCCCGGCACCACGTCCCATCCCTGCGTATGCATCTCTGGGGCCCACAGGGAAGGCAGAGCCCCCGGGGCCTCCGTGGCAGCTCGGTGCCCAGCGTGTGAGGAGTCAGTGACGGAGGGGTGAGGCTGGGATCATGTCTGTCTGTGTGAATGCGACTGCTCAGGGGATCGGGCACCCAGACGGTGTCTGCGGTCTGAAGATGAGGGCAGGGTTTGAGGCACACACCGCCCACCCCCGAGCCTTTTCCCAGCTGCCGGGGGCGGTGGCGGTCCGTCTCACCTCCGTGGGCCTGTGCTGAAGAGGAGGTGGTGACTCTGTTGACAGAGTCCAGCGGGGTTCAGCGTCACAGATGTCAGCCATCCTCAGCATCCCTGCTGCCAGCAGGATTACATTAGCGAGAGCCCCTGATAGCAGACTCCAAGCTCAGCGCTCTGCCACTCCATTCTCCAGAAGCCCCGGCTGCCCTCTCTTCAGTTGCCCTTTGCTCACCGTCCATTGCTGTGGCTTTGTCCCAGGTGGCCGTGTGCACCTGCCATTTGGGCCACATCTACACCAGTGCCTGTGGCCCTGCCTCTGAGACAGGAGCTCCCCATGTGTAGTGAGGTTTCTGGGGTGTTCTGTGTAGGAGCTGTTTGTGTAAAACCAGGGCTGGACTTTCGGATCATCGACACGGTGGTGCCTCTGCGGGGTGCCATCCTATATAGCCCTGTTGGGGGCTGCTGGCTTTCCTCTTTGACTTTCACCTCACCCTCTTCTGGGGAGCGGTGGAGGGCACTGTTCAGGACTGAAAGCATGGGCTCCCTGTTGTAGCCGCTGACCATCAGCAGGGCACGGGCTGGGGCTGTCGCTGGGAAGTGTGTCTATGTCTGACTGTGCTCTGTTGCCCGCGGTGTCCCAGCTGTACCCACATTTCCTCCTTGACAGGACACGCTGGGAGTGTGCAGGAATAGTGACTTAGGCTACCATACATTTCTTGATAAAATTTCTGCAAGTAAGAATAATACCATATCCTTTATTTTCAAAGAGCACAATTGGAGGTGAAGGCTCATGGTGTTTTCCCTGGAGGTGGAAGTTCACTGATGACTTTTGGTTGAGTTTTGTAAGTCTCTTCAAGGGTTGGAAAGTCCTGGATGACAGAGGAACCTTTAGCCAGGAGGACACGTTTGCAGCAGAGTCGGGTGGTGCAGATGGACCGGCAGCCAGGGCTTTCTGGCCCCCAGGCCCCAACTTGCCTCCTGTCTGGCTCCCTGCCTTTGTCCCAAGCTGCTGTCTGGATGTGCTGTCCAGTCCTGGTGCGCCCAGGCCTTGGTGTACATAAGTACAGGGTGATTCCCAGAATCGGGTGGGTGAGAAGCCATCATTACTTGGTCAGAGATGGGAGGGAGTAAGGAAGGTAGAGCGAGCAGTCTCAACTCTCTTGCTGTAAATCCTGTGGACATTACTGGCCATTCACTCTTCTCTGTGCCAGCCTCTTGGGGCTGATTCTTGCAGGTTCAACCATACCTGCAGCAGTCACCGCCTTGGCTAAGGGATCACAATGGGTCCTGAACTATCTGTGCGACACAGGCCCTGTAGTAACAGATCCTCAGTTACTGACACGGTGTTCATTCAGGGGGGCTCATGACCTCCATTCTGTCTGTTCTGTGTAACTGAACACAGAGTGTAAACCAAGCCTCGTCACCGAGTCGTAGCCGGGATGTGGCAGAAGCTGGCACTTCCATCCAGGTCACTAGCATCTGTGATAGTGCTGGGCGCCTGGTAGGTGCTTAATAAAAACCAACAAATGTGTAAACAGCCTCATGTGGCCTCTGTCTCCAATTTGGTTTCTAGCTAATCCTCTTAAGGTTCTGCCACTGAGTCGGTTTCGTAGATTCCCTGGCCCTCAGGACGGCCTGAACTCCCCAGCAGAGTGACAGGGAGTGGCCGTGGCCTTGGTGGCCTGTCTTTCTGATCCCTGGGGAGTATCCTGTGTGGCTCCTGCCTGGGTCTGCTCTCTGGGTACCCTTCTGGGTCTGCTCTCTCTAGAGTCTCTGGGTCTACCCTTTTGTTTCCGGGTCATTTCTCCCTGGTGGGTCCAGGCAGGGAAGCAGAGCTACTGTGACAATCATGGGAACACTGATTGTGAGATTGAACTTGTGTAGTGTGTGAGGGGAAGGGAAGGCTGGCAGAGGTCACTGAAGGTGGGAGAAGCAGATGCACACAGAAACACCTGAGGGACAGGTTTGGCCCCTGAGGAAGCAGGAGGGGTGGCTGTCTGTCAGCAGAGGGGGCGGCTGTGGGTACAGGAGTTGCCTTGGTGGGCGGCCACTGCCAGACCGTCCTCCTGTGTGCCAGAGGCCTGCCGCAGCATCGCCTCCAGGGGGTCCTCCGTTAGGCACCCTGAGCCCGGAGCCTACAGGAAAGGCGCTTCTGGGTGGTGGGGCTCAACCTCAGATGCGAGGCCATGCGGATGACCCGGAACAGCCACATCGTGCCAGGGCAGCAGGGTGTGCATGGGATGTGTGTCTGTCCGGCTCCGTAGCAAGCTTGGTTTACATGTTGCGTTCAGTTACGTAGCGCAGACAAAAGGAGAGGTCACTGTGCTCTCAGCCGTGATGAACACCGGGTAAGTGCCTGCCGGCCACTCACCCCTACAAATACCACTCAGCCTGGCCGATCAGCAAGCCGAGGGCCTGTGCTGCACAGGTAGTTATAAGTGTATGTGTGTATGTAGATGTGTGCACACATGCATGTGTGCAAGTGAATACGTGTACACGAGCATATGTGTGTGTGCATGGGTGCTTCAGACCCCTTAGGGAGTGTGCGGGAACGCAAAAGTGGGAGGTGACTGCCCGGTGAGGGCAAACGGCAAGAGGCCTCTGTCAGGTCGGGTTCCCGGGGAGCAGGTCAGGAGGGCAGAGGAGCAGGCGGACACCGTGGAGGCAGCAGCAGCCCGGGCTCCATGTGTGTCCCGCCGCCTGGGTTCTCTTGGTGCCACCAGCCCACTGCCCTCACTCCCTACCCATCTCACTCCCGGAGCTCCTCCTGCCCTGCCTGGCTGACACATCCTTGTGACATCAGATGGATGCCCAGCTCTGAACCCTCAGCTGTGGTCGCATGTCCCTGTGTGTTCCTGTCCCTGCACTTGTCAAAGCGGGGGAGTGCTTTCCAGTGTCGGTGGAGCAGGAGTGCTGGAGGCTGAAGGCAGGGCTCTTCTGGGACTGGCCGGTGGTGGCCACGTGCTGCCCGTGCCAGGAACTGCAGTGATGCGTCATTTGTCACATTAGGGTCTGAGCTCGGGCCTTGTGACCGAGGGGCTCTGCTGCAGGGCCAGGGGGGCAGGGCACAGACAGAATTGGTGATCTTGGGATCTGGTGGTGTGGAATGACGTGGGGGAATGACATCAGACGAAGAATTCCTAATGAGGTGGAGATGACAGCAGGCGAAACCTCACAGCACCTCGCAGGAGCTGTGCTGATAGTTCCTCAAAGCGATGCAGAGAGGTGTCCCCGATGAGATCTTAAAAGCTGTTCTGAGATCTCCCATCCTGTTTTCTGATCTTGGCAGCTGTGCTGCCTTCCCTAGGTACTGGCCCTTAGATTGAATTATCGCTGTTGGATTATTACACAGCTTTATTCTTGCCAGCTTCATTTGGTGACTTTGGCTTTACCCTGAGGGCTTAAATCATCCTCAGTAGATTTTGTCAGGCAAAGCAAAGTCGGGTTAATATTATCCCCTAGTTATTGTAGACTGATCAGGCCCGCAGTCTGCCAAACGAGTGGACAGCGAAGCCTTAAATAAAAGAGTCAAGTGGTTTGATTTCCTTTCTCACAGTCCAGAGAGCTGTAGAGTATTCCGAATCACTGCTGTCAGAGCAGAGCCTTCTAAGTCATGCCCAGTGCTGCCCTCATCATCTGCTGTGGGCCAACTGCCCACACTGCCCACTTGCCCTGAACCCTGTAGACCTCACCTGCGAGGTGGGCTGGCCCTGCTGCATCCGGGCCTCGCATGATTCAGGATGCAGCATGCGTGCATCAAGTCAGTGCTTAATAAGTGCCTCTGTTGGGTCTGTATCGGCTGTCTGCTACTGGGTAATGAGTTTCCTCAAAAGGTGAGGCTTTCAACAACGCGCTTGTATTACCTCCCAGTTCTTGTGGGTCGGGAATCTGGGCACGGCCCAGCCGTTCCTCCAGCTCAGGGTCTCCTGCAAGGTTACAGTCAGGTGTCAGGTGGGGTTATGGTCACTCCACAGTGGCTCTGAGGCAGGTTCTGCTTCCACACTGTTCTGGCCACTGTCGGGAAGACGCGCTTCCTGGGAGAAGTGGCCATGGCTGTACACTGGGGCTCCCAGTGTCTCATCTTGGTGCCCTCAGCAGGGGTGCCCATCACTTTAGGGGGATCCTGTATTTAGGAGCGCCCGGGTCCTGGTTACACACGGGACTAAGTCCCCTGGGGCCAGGATCACTAGGAGCTATTTGAAGAGTTGCCTACTGCAATTGTGATCAGTATTCGTCCTGTTTTGTTTTGTTTTGTTTGCTAGATCGGCAACTCAGGACCAGTAAAATTTTGTTTGGCAAATGTTATAGTACACAACAATAAAAATCCAAAATTTGGAGCTTGGTGCCTTCATAAACCCCATATTCCCTACAGCCAAGGTCCTGTCCTCTTTCCAAGGTCCTGTCTTGCTCAATCAATAGCTTGTGGCGAAGGAAAGGCTCACAGAGGAACAGTTGGTTCCTTTGGCAGGAAGTGTGATTCAAATAAAAATTGATGGTAATCTTTTTTTTTAATAGTTAAGGTCACACTTTCGAAGACTTCTTAGATAAGCTGAAGCTTTTGCTTAGCCACAGAGTTTGCACGTTGGGACAAACCGCTCTCTGGAGACACCAGGAAGCAGCGGGAACTGTTATAAGAAATGTGGGTGAGGCAGCTTATACCTTGCTTATTCTGTTTTAAAACAGATGTTCTTCTTTTCCTTTAACTCATCCGAGAAGGAGGGAGAAGGAGAGATGGGAAGGGAGTCTGGGCGAGGAGACAGATGAGCTTCTGAGGCTTGTATCTCCTCCCTCCCAACTGTGTCGGGGCCTCCAGTTTCCTCAGAGCTCAATAGCAGGAGAATGTCAAGCATCGATAGGGTGTAGATGGCGTCCCACCATTGCAGTCCGAGCACTCAGGGACCAAAAGATCTGCCAACTCTGGAATGAAGAGAGGCAAAGAGACAGAATGGTAGGAAGGGACAGCACTTTTGAACATTAAAAATATTCTCTGACTGGGAACAGATTCTTTAGGGTGGGTGATGCATTCTTTTCAAACACCCATCCAAGAGCCTGAGAAGTCTGGGGTGGTGTCCTCCCTTTGACACATGTCCTTGGATAAGTGGCTCCATTTCTTAGGCATGACCAGAGACATGAGGAGAAGAGTGGCTTCATGGAATACCTTTCCACACATGGCACACATAGAGCCACATACTGGTTTATGATGATGGACATGGGAGTCACAGCATGCGTGCACAGTATGTTCAAGGAAACAGATAAAGATATAGCAATTTGGCAAGGAATTTAAAACTGTCATGTAAATATATAACTGCAAAATACAGCACTTGATACTAGGAAACTAATACATAGTTTTATCATCCTATTAGACATATCTGTAGAAAGAACTAGGAGATAGGCCTAAAGAAAACCTCAGAACAAAAACTCAGAAAGATGAAAAAAGATGAGAACAACATAAGATAGATGTAAGAAAGTGAAAAATTTTATTTTTTTTTTTTTGGTACCAGTAACTGAACTCAGGACCTTGCACTTGTCAGGCAGGTGCTTGTGCTGCTGAGCTGTATTCCTGGCCTGAAAAATTTTAATACAGGTATCAGGGTGTCTTAGTTTTTTATTGTTGGGACAAAATTCCTGACACCTAAAGTTAAAGGAGGAAAGGTTTATTTTAAGTCACGGTTTGTAGAGGGTTCAGTCTGGCTGGCTTGAAGGCAAGGTGGCATGGCCAAGGGGCATCATAGAGGAGAAAGAGTCTATGGTGGGGTAGGCAGAAAGCCATGAGCAGCAGCTGCAGCAGCATCAGTAGTAGCCTTCCTTTCCCTTTTATCCCATTAAGGCTACAAGCCCATTGGCTGGTGCCACCAACAGCCAGGGTGGGCCTTCCCATTACCCATACCCAGATTTATGCTAAACCAATCAGTGAACTAATTTAGTCATCACACCTTTAATCCACATTCACAAACTTTTAATCCCTCTATCACACACCCCAGATCCAGTCACCTCAGAAAAGCCCCACCTATGAGTGCATGAGGCTAGTGGGGGACATCTAAACACAAGCAGTGTAACACACGGAGTCTCAGAAAGATCGAAGAGTTTTAGTGGAGCAAAAGCAATGCTTGGAGCCGGGCATAGTGGTGCACGCCTGTAATCCCAGCACTTGGGAGGCTGAAGCTACAGGATCGTTGCAAGTTCGAGACCAGCCTGGGCTACAAAGTGAGCTCAAGGCCAGCCTGAACTGCACAGGATGACCTTGTTTCAAAAAAAAAAGTAAAAAAAAGAAAAAGAAAAAAAGCAATACTTGGGAGCTGCGGCTGGAACTGTCTGTGATCATCCTGCCTCTGCCTCCGGAGTGCACCACCACACCCAGTTTATAAATGAATTTTAAAACTTTTGGTACAATATATACCTTTGAAACCTTTCAAAATAATCATAATTGAAAGAGTAGGAGTACTGTCTGTGGGAGTGGGCTAAAGCTCTTTACTCACATTGTCCTTTCCTCAGATGATTTTATGCTCTGAAACCCAGGAAAACGCCTGCTGCAGAGGGGTGCCTGGCCCTGGGCGGAGTGCTGGTGTGGGCAGAGTGGAGTCCAATCTCCACTCGTCTCTACCGGTGCCTGGCACCGGCGCCCATGCGAACTTCCCACTGTGAGCGGGGCCACCTGCCCCCTTCCCGAAGGGCTGCGAGCAGGCCTGTGTGCGGTGGCGAGTGTGAGCTTTGTGCAGAGGCCCCGGGACCCACCTGGGCTGCCCTTGTCCTCTTGTGCCCCCGATGCTGCTTAGTTCTCATCTTCTCGGGCGGCTTCTTCCCGTCTCTGCCGCTCAGTTTCCGCACCTCCGACATGGTACCACATTTCCAGCGTGTGGGCTTCAGATCTTCCCAAGTGGGGAACTGTGGACAAGTCCACACCAGGCTTATCCATCTCCAGGGGTGTTACTGTAAATACTTAAACTCATTGACGCGACTTGTATGTTTAAAACTAGGTTTGTAGGCAGTATTTCCCCCCCCCACCCCAGTGGACGGAGGAAACAGTCTACTGAGTCAGACTCGGGGGCAGAACCCACCTTTTCGAACAAGAGAAAATTAGGTTCCATTTGTACTACATGTTAGCGACCCCTTGGTGAATGGATTCTTTTTTTTTTTTCCGGTGGGGGGGATAAAGTCTCGCTATGTAGTTCAGGCTGGCCTTGACCTCACTGTATAGCCCAGGCTGGCCTCAAAGTTACAGAGATCCTTCGGTTTCAGCCTTCCAAATGCTGGATTATAGGCACGCACCACAACTCCCAGCTTGTAAATGGATTTTAAAACTTTTGCTATAATAGATACCTTTGACAAATTTCAAAAATAATCATAAATGAAAGAGTGGGAGTATTGTTTCTGGGAATTTGCAGAAACTCCTTACTTACATCATGTTTTCCTCAGATAATGTTGTGGTCTGGTTTGTGAAATGCAGTGAAATGCCTGGAGCTGAGTTTTCTTGTTCGAGTGGCTCATTTTTCCCAGAACGAGCATGAAGGGTGAGGTTTCCTGGGCCTGCGTGAGGTCTGCTCTCACTGTGGCCCCTAAAGGAAGGAGTGCAGAAGGTGCAGTGATAGCTGGGGATGTAGCTCAGCTGCATAAGTGCTTGCCTGGTCAGCCTGAGGCCATGAGTTCAATTCCTGGTACCAAACAAAACAAAACAAGACAAAAAGGTGCAGTGGTAAAACAAGTGCATTGCGGACTGGAGCTCAATAGTGTTTCCTGCTTTTATGGCACAGTGGTTACTGTGATGTATAAAGATTGAACCCTTCACAGTGTGAAAGTATCTTCCTGGTAAAAAGTGCTGGGCACGTGTCAGAACTGGTCTACATCACCACGATGCCGCTTGTGGAAAGGGAGACGGAAAGGCAGGAGCAGTCACTGTCAGATTGGCGCTCTCCCTGGGGCACGTGGCAGTGTGGGGGTGATGATCAGTACTTTGACCTGGAGCCCTTGGTCCTCCTAGAGAGAGTATAGTATGTGTCTGGCTTTTGCTGGTTGCTGTGTTGCAAACCCAGGGCAGAGAAGAGGGCCATATCCTCTCCCTGTTCGCCAGGTTTGTGTGGAATGTGTGCAGTGTTCCAGGGGTTTCTCTGAACCTGGCAGAGCACAGCGGGAGGCAGTGTCCTGAACCTGTTGTCTCCTGTGCTAGTGGGGCTGTCAGGAGCTGCGCCTGGATTCTGGGGACCTGGGCAGCAGGTGAGCTGGCTCTCCCAGGCTGGCTGGAGAAGGCAGTGCTGACAGGGACCCGCCAGACAGCTCTTGCTGCATCACCCGTCGGGTGGGACCAGGCAGGTGCCGTGCACTCCTCCTGGCCAGGTTCCTGAGATGCTCTTGGCTTTCCTTACCATCGGGGCTGGAAAAGCCCAAACCATTAACTGTGCTTGTTCTACCTGTTTCTCTCCCCAGTCCCTCTCTCTGTCCACAAAGTCCAGCTGCCCTGTACCACCCTGCTAATGTAACTCAAGACTGACTTCCCTTCCATCAGTGTTCAAGACAGTAAGACTTTATAGAGCTTTCAATTAGACGCTCAACTGAGTGACTGATAGACAATACAAAAAAAATCCTTGCAGAGAGGGGTGCTGAAATGATCAGGTGTTCCCAAACAGCAGACAGAAGGTCCCCAACTTAGGATGGTTTGGTTTCGGCTTTTGCCATGGTGTGTAAGGTGCAACCGTACAAACCTTCTGTTTTCACTTTCAGTGCCGTACTTATGAAATCACATGAGCGATTCACTACGTTATTATAAGATAGGCTTTGTGTGAGATGATTTTTTTCGTCCAATTATAGTTTAGTGTGATTGACCTACATTTAAGGTAAGATAAGATAAGCTAGGCTATACTGTATCGGGTAGGTTGGTGTTAAACCAATAGTAATATATTATTCATCCATGAGTCATGTGTTCATGCATATTTTTCCTTATGATATTTTCAACTTAGGAGGATTTGTCAGGACATGACCCCATCCTTAGTCAAGAAGCATCTGTGTGTTACGGACAGCATCATAGTCCGCCTCTTTAACACCCGTGGTAGGAGTAAAATCAAAGTCTGAAAGATCGCTGTACATGCTATAATTCATTTAATTTATAGCCCATTTATTTAGATCCTTTCTCATTTTTATGAATCATACTGCAATGAATTTTTTCTGCTCAATTATTCTTCTTTAATTACATTATGTGTGGTGGAGTTCCCAAGGCTGTGGTCCTGCTGGGGTTTGTATCTTCCTTTTCTCCACCTGAGGGCACTGATGTGTGAAGTCATCTGCAGGGGACATCCTGACGAGCCCCCTGGAGCTCCTCACTCCCTGCAGAGCTTGCCACAGGGCTGGGGGAGCAGCAGTGCTTCTTGAGTCTGGAGGGGAGATGTTTGTGGCAGCGTGCTGAACACTGTGAGATCAGAGCGACCAGGGAGGACAGCAATTTCCTCTCGGTGCGGCCTTGATCTCCACAGGGGCTGCTTGCAGAGCTGGCTGAAGAGATGTCCAGGCCTTTCTTAGGTCCAGCAAGAAGCTGTGTGTGTTCACTAGCGGGGCCCACCGTCGGAGCAGGACTAGGCAGCAGCAGTACGTTTTCCTGTGAGCTGCAGTTGTTTACCTCGAGGGGCAGGAGACTGGAAGGGCGTTGCTGCAGTCCTGGGACAGAGGGCCGACTTGGGCTTGGCTTTCACCAACAGGTGGTCCCTCAGGTTTTATAAGACAGCAGCTCAAAGTTTGTGGTCCTGATTTCACAGTTGCGGGTTTACATGTGATTAGCAAATAGGGCAACTCGAACAGCAGAGATCGCCGTCATAGTCTGCGCTTGCTCCCTGAGGGCTGCACGAGGGCTGGGACAGCAGATCCGGGGTCTGGGTGCCAGGAAGTAGCTGGAACCGATTGCTTGGCTTGTACCTCTCTGATGCCAACCACACAGAAGAGAAAACGGGATGTGTTGGGGACCTCTGGGGAGGGTTCCACCGAGATTGCTCCCGGGCCATGGAGTCAGAACGAGCTCTGTTCTCCGCTCCTGGAAGTCAGCGGGCTCCCCTTTCACTACGGCCCACATCACCGCAGCGCTGCCTTCAGAACGCGAGGCTGTGAGGGACTGGAGCTGCGCGAGGTGAAACTGGAAAGCGCTCACACAAGGTCTGCGCGTTCTAGGAATTGGAAAAATCTTTAGAGAAATTTGCACTTGGCAGGGAGGTTGACCTCGCTCGGTAAGAGCCCTGAGAGGGCTGGGCGGCGTTCAGGACATTTGGTCCTGACTCTGCCAGCCAGCTGTGTGACCCTCAGGAAGTCACACAGCTTCCTCTTGCAAAGCCGAGGGTTGAACAAGAGTGGCTGTGACGGTCTCGGAACCCTGTAAATGGAGCAAGTGCACAGGGCTGAGCCTCGGTCGGCGCAGGGCCACGGGCACAAAGTGGCTTTCAAGCTGGTGGGCTGCAGGAGCCCCTCACTTAGCCGCCTCTCGGGGAGTGGGCCCTGCCTTCGCCGCCGGCCCGCTGCATTTCCTGCCCCCGCTCTGTGTTTCACGTGTGGCCCTTGTGACTCACTGGCCGCTCCTTTGTTGTGTGTGTGTCACCAGCCGTCTCCTCGGGTCCCGGTCCCAACAGGCTGAGGCAGGAAGAGGAAACCAAAGTGCCCAGGGCACAGGCTCCCCCAGCTCCTGTGGCAGCTCCTCCCCTGGCGGCCAGCCGAGGAACAGCGCCACAGAGCCGGGCCGCCCGTCACAGGCACCGGCCAGATGGGATCCTTCGGCGCTGTTCTTTGCAAGAATGTTTCCTTTTTTGAGACAAACCAAAAATTTATCTGTTTTCCTATTAAGCATAAGAAAGAGAAATGCTGCGAATTAACTTCTTCAAAAGAAAGGAGAGAGAGAGAGACAGAGAGAGACTAAGTGCCGTTAGCTGACAATCCAGTGGCTCGGCTCAACTCTAACCCAGCTTGCTGCACTGACTGCTCGGAAAAGCAGAGCCATTCGAAGGCGAGGAGTGGACCTTTCAGCTCCTCACCGCGAAGGGCATTTCGAGGGCCGGCCTTACCTTGCAGGCTGGCTCTGCTGACCGCTTTGGGGGCTTGGGTCACTTGTTTGGAGCAGAGCCCTTGCTTGGGTGGAGTAAATGGACAGATGCCAAAACAGCAGCTCAGCTGGGGAGGCGAGGGTGGCCTGGGGCCTGCCGGTGACTCAGGAGCCAAGAATGAATGAACCAGGCGCCCGAGCACCGCGGGGTGGCCCTGGCCACGTGGCAGCTTGTGAAGCAGCTTGCCTTCCGGAGGTGGCACGGGACATCTGCTTATCTCGGGGAGCAGGGTGGCATTCCTTTCCCGTTTCTTGGGGTGGCATGAGGGGAGGGTGCCTGGTGTAAGCTCTTCCCCTGGACGTACGTGTGGCGGAGTGGGAAGAGCCGAGCCTGTCCAGGGGCAATGGGGGAACGTGGCCGGTCTGTGGGAAGGGGCTGCAGGGATTGGAACCCTCCTGTCACCTCTTGTTTTTTTTGTTTTTTTTTTTTTTTTTTTCTGATACCGGGAACCGAACTCACGACCTTGCACTCGCCAGGCAGGCACTGTGCCGCTGAGCTAAATCCCCAGCTCCTCCTGTCACCTCTTGGACTCTACATGAGTCACCCACTGCAGAGAAGCCACCTTGGCCTTAGCCTTTGAGAGGAAGACCTTTGGAGTGTCACAGGTCTAGACCCCTCGTGCCCTGGGTTTGTGGAACTGTCCCCAAACACAAGAAGGAATAATAACCCAGACTGCCGGTTGGGATTTCCAATTTCATATTTCAGTATCTGAAGAAAAATACATTTCTATGAAGTTTCAACATTTTCTCCTTGGTCTTTGGGCTTTTTGTAATTCAAGAGAACCACAACGCTGTTCTTCCTTGTTAAATATATCTTGTGTCTCTGTTGCTGATCCATCTCAAAATGTCTCCGTTCTTTGAGATACAAATGTCCCGGCGACATGTGTTTCTGTGTTGAAAAAGCTGAGTCTTGTACGTGTCTCTGCTGCCTCCCGGAAGAGAGGTTCTTACCCACCAGAGGCAGTGGCTTTGCTGGCCCTTGTGCCAGTCTCTGGGTGATTTTCTAATTTCTGTTTTGCAAAACTTTAATTTCTACCCGTATTACTTTGCTTTCTAAGTGATTGCGCTTATTTTTTGAGTGATCTTTTAAAATAGCCCGCTGCTGTTTTTCTGGTGGGGATTGAGGTCTGATTTTTCACAGCTGAGTATTTATTTGTAAAAAATTAAAATGCAGATTGAAAGCTCCATTTGCACCGGAGCCTGTGGGCTGGCACACAAATGGCCTTGGTGGGGGACCTTAGTACTAGATTTGGGGCATTTTTTCTCTTACCCAAGCTTATCTGAGCTTGTAAGGCTCCGGGGACAGCACCTGGCCCCTCCCCTAGTATGTGAGCTGTTTCTAAGCCCGGGTTTCCTGGCTGGTCATCTTCCCTTCCTTCCTGGGGCTCCAGGGCAAGTCTGTGCGCAGCCTGTGGCCGTCCCTGTCTCCTGGAGTTTGCAGGCACCAGTGACCTGCTGTCCACTGGCCCCCTCGTTGCCAGGCCTTGTGTCCACAGCTTCTTCCTCAGGTGCCACCCATCCTCCTGCATTTGTAGGTGTCGCTTTCTAAGGGTGGTCTCTTCTGTCTCTTTGACCTTGTGAATTGGT